GTCAGGAATTTGATCATAATAGAAATTTATCTTTTCTTCTTTTAAGGGCACAATGCAGGCCTTCCTGATCAGGTGAATAATCTGGTTGGCTCTGCTCCAAAGAGTGATTCAAGGACATGGATACCCACTGTTGTGTGGGTTTTTCCATCATCAACAGGTGACTCCAAATTTGTCTGTAGTACTTGAATCTATTCCACTCAGTGGTAAAGGGAAAAAGTCTGGCGGACCACATGGATGTTTTCAAGGGCCAGCACTATACAGGGTAAGAGCACTTCCGCACATATTACATGGCCTGGATTTATCCTCATGGTAATCTAATTGCAAAGAAGTTGGGAAATTATTGGATGACTAATGGATGAGGAGACAAGTTCAGGGCATGAGACCACTTTTCATTTTTACACTATTTGTCCTAGTGAAGTTCTGGGTGGGGTGGAGAGGAACAACTAACGTTCTTGCTTGCACACACTTCATTAAAAACAATCTGACACAAATTCTTATTCCACAGTTTCAGCTTGGGGAAGATGATATGGATGTGACTCAGAGTTCACAGCATCATAGACTATTTGAAAGAAACATTCAAGTTGATGCCCAAAGGCATAGCCTATGAGGAAAATATCCACAAGTGTAGACACATTACAAGTTGTTTCCTCATTTCCTGAGGGAGACAAGAAAAGAATGATCAGTCAGCTCCTTGCAAGTACTTGAGAATCACTGAGTGAAGAGTGATTCTTCCACTCAGCAGATCTTCCAAATATTAGAAATATTGAAGTGCATGTGCAAACTTGAAGAAAATATTCCTGCAAACAATCTTTAAAAAAATACCTCACACGAGCTTTCCTGGTGGCACAGTGGTTAAGAATCCGTCTGCCAATGCAGGGAACACGGGTTCAAGCCCTAGTCTGGGAAGATCCCACATGCCATGGAGCAACTAAGCCCGTGCACCACAACTACTGAGCCTGTGCTCTAGAGCCCACGAGCCACAACTACTGAGCCCACGTGCCACAACTGCTGAAGCTCGTGCACCTAGAGCCCGTGCTCTGCAACAAGAGAAGCCACCGCAATGAGAAGCCTGCACACCGCAATGAGGAGTAGCTCCCACTCACTGCAACTAGAGAAAGCCCGCACACAGCAACGAAGACCCAACGCAGCCAAAACAAAACCCCAAGAAAACAAAAAATCTCACACAATATTCCATTATCACTTCCCCTGTAGAACCATGAAGAATCTTTAAAGTGTCTTTAGATTATTGTCTTCTCACATCATATCTATCTAATATATGTTGGTATAATTCTTTCTCCTATCATTACCATCATCGTGGACTGATGTTACATGAATATTGATTGAGCTCCTGAAATGACAGGGACTGACTAGCTGTCTAGGAAATGGGGCTGGGTAAGATGGTATCTCTCCCTTTAGTTATTTTACAGACTTCTGGGAGGTATTCTGAGGACACAATAGGTCAGGTCATGTCTTACTATTTGGGCTTCTTCAACAAAAGAGCATAGACTGGGTAGTTTGTAAAGAGCAGAAATGTATTGCTCACAGTTCTGGAGTCTGGAAATCCAAGATCTGGGTGTCAGAGTGGTCCAGTTCTGGTGAGAGGCTGCAGAGTTCTTGTATCAGCACAGGGCAGAAGAGGGAGGGATTTATCTTGACCTGTTTTATAACGGCCCTAATTCCATTTGTGAGGTCTCCATCTTCATAGCATAATCATGTCCCAAAGGGTCCGCCACCTGATATCACCACTTTGGTGGTTAGGATATCAATATATGAATTTAAAGGTCTTTAAAGGTTACACGCATCTAGAAGTAAGAATATAGTCATACTGAGTAAAAAAGAATGAGCAGGTTAGCAGGCAAAAAGAGTAGACCAAGGACAAGAATCCAAACTCTCGATTTACAACCTGCCATAATGCTTTAATTATTATCTGTCAAATATTGGAAATCAAACTGAAAAGGAGCCCACTGTCTCATGGGATGGAATGAAAATACAGGATGAAAATGATATTCATCATTTTTTGTAAGGAGTCTCCAAAAAATCTCAGGATAAAGGTAATAATTATCACATTAGTAAAGAGTAATGTGGCAAATGTCTGGTTGCTGTGAGCTATGAGGATCAGAGAGAGTTTGAGTTTAGATCCTTGGCTCTGTATATGACACCAGTCTAGTTATTTTCTATTGTGACATACTAGTGGACAAATTAGAGACAAGGCCATCCTCGTGTGTTTAATATAGTTCCGGGCACAGGCTGAAAATTGTGCTGCTCTTGCAACTTGAATCCCCAGCCATATGCACCTTAAAGGAAAGAGAATCCAAGTGATTTTAGCAATCAACTCAGTAGGCATTATTGATATCAGCAGGGGTAGAGTGGAAATGTTAGCCATTGTCTGTTATAATCCCAGTAAATATGGCTGTGAGGAAGCAAAATAGATTGGTCATTTGTAAATGTCTGCCAGTAGGAGGAGAAAATCTCAGAAAGTGCTTTAGTAAAATTACTTGTTGAGTCAAAAACTACTAGAACTTATGAATTAATTAAGCAAGGTAACAGAATACAAGATTAACATACATAAATCTGTTGCATTTCTTTACACTAATGATGAAATATCAAAGGAAAAAGGAAAAATACAATCCCTTTTAAAATCTCATCAAAAAAATAATAAAATACTTAAGAATAAACCTGACCAAGGAGGTGAAATACTTATAACTAAGAACTATACAACACTGATAAAGGAAACTGAAGATGATTCAAAGGAATGGATAGTTATCCTATGGGCCTGGATGGGAAGAATTAACGGCCATACTACACAAAGCAATCTACAGATTCAGTGCGATCCCTATCAAATTACCCATGACATCTTTCACAGAACTAGAACAAATAATCCTAAAATCTATATGGAACCACAAAAGACCTAGAATTGCCAAAGCAATCCTTAGGAGAAAGAACAAAGCTGGAGGTATAACCCTTCCAGACTTCAGACAATGCTACAAAGCTAGAGAAATCAAAACGGCATGGTATTGGCACAAAACCAGACATATGGATCAGTGGAACAGAATACAGAGCCCAGAAATAAACCCACACACCTACAGTCAATGAATCTTCAACAAAGGGGGCAAGAATGTACAATGGAGAAAAGAAAGTCTCTTCAGCAAGTGGTTTTGGGAAAGCTGGACAGCCTTAATTAAATCAATTAAGTTAGAACACTTCCCCACACCATACACAAACATAAACTCAAAATGGCTTAAAGACTTAAATATAAGACGTGACACCATAAAATTCCTAGAAGAAAACATAGGCAAAATATTCTCTGACATAAATCATAGCAATATTTTCTTAAGTCAGTTTCCCAAGGCATAGAAATAAAAGCAAAAATAAACAAATGGGACCTAATCAAACTTATAAGCTTCTTCATAGCAAAGGAAACCATTAACAGAATGAAAAGACAAGCTATGGAGTGGCAGGAAATATTTGCTAGCTATGCAACTGACAAGGCCTTAATTTCCAAAATATACAAACAACTTATACAGCTCAATAACATAGAAATAAAAACCCAATCATAAAATGGGCTGAAGACCTGAATAGACATTTCTCCAAAGAAGACATACAGATGGCCAATAAGCACATGAAAACATGTCAACATTGCTGATTATTAGAGAAATGCAAATCAAAACTACAAAGAAGTATCATCTCACACCGGTCACAATGGCCATCATCAAAAAGTCTACAAACAATAAGTGCTGGAGAGGGTGTGGAGAAAAGGGAATCCTCCTACACTGTTGATGGGAATGTAAATTGGTGCAGCCACTATGGAAAACAGGATGGATGTTCCTTAAAAAAAGAAAACTAGAGTTACCATATGATCCAGCAATCCCACTCCTGGGCATATATCAAGAGAAAACTAATTTGAAAAGATACATGCACTTCAATGTTTATAGCAGAACTATTCACAATAGCCAAGACATGGAATGAACCTGAATGTTCATCGACAGATGAATGGAAAGAGAAGATGTGGTATATAAATATACAATGGAATACTACTCAGCCATATAAAAGAATGAAATAATGCCATTTGCAACAACATGGATAGACCTAGAGATTATCATACTAAGTGAAGTAAGACAAAGACAAATATCACATGATATCACTTATATGTGGAATCAAAAAATGATACAAATGAACTTATTTACAAAACAGACACTGACTCACAGACATAGAAAACAAACTTATGGTTATCAAAAGGAAAGGGGGGGGACGGATAAATGTAGTTTGAGATTAGCAGACACAAACTACTATATATAAAATAGAAAAACAACAAGGTCCTACTGTATGACACAGGAAATTATGTTCAATATCTTCTAGTAAACTATAATGGAAAATCTGAAAAAGAATATATATATATATATATATATATATATATATATATATATATCTGAATCGCTTTGCTATACACCAGAAAAACTAACAAACACTGGAATCAACTATACTTCAATGAAAATAAAAAAAATATATATATATATATATATATATATATATATATATATATATCTGAATCGCTTTGCTATACACCAGAAAAACTAACAAACACTGGAATCAACTATACTTCAATGAAAATAAAATAAAATACATAGATGAGTCTATTAAAAAAAATTACTTGCGTGATTACACTGGGCTTGCTGCCAAGGATAATACAGGGAATGGATAGAGTCCAGTTACTAATGAGCTAATTTGCCAAAGATTATCACATACCTACCATGT